CCGTAATCATAATACTCCACTCCAGCATGGGTGACAGAGCAAAACCCTATCTCAAAAAAATAAATAAATAAAATAAAATACACAGTAAACAATTTAGTAATCAAGATAAATATATATTATTTAATAAATATTGTATGCATCTAACAAATATATATATATTTGCTTTTTATTTCATTTTATTTTATTTTATTTATTTATTTATTAATTTTTTTAATTAATATTTTTTATTATGGCTTTGTGGGGTACAGTTAAGGGTTAGGTGTACAATTACGTTTCATTCACAAATATATATATATATATATATTTTTTTTTTTTTTTGAGTTGGAGTCTCACTCTGTCGCCCAGACTGGAGTGCAGTGGCCACTCCCGGCCACCGCAGCCTTGACCTGCTGGGCTCCGGCGATCCTTCTGCCTCAGCCTCCAAGTAGCTGGAACTACAGGCGCGCGCTACCATGCCCAGCTAATTTTTTATTTTATTGTAGAGATGAGGTCTCACCAAGTTGCCCAGGCGGGTCTCAAACCCGTGGGCTCAGGCAATCCACTCACCTCAGCCTCCCAAAGTGCTGGGATTACAGGCTGAGCCACCAAGCCCGGTTCACAAATATATTTTTAAATGGTATTTTAATGCAGTGTTTTTTTAAAAATCTAAATGACTGCCAAAAAGTCCATGATGAACAGAATATCAAACTTTTAAATAAAGAGAGGAATCACATTTTATGATAAACTTTTAAATAAAGAGAGGAAAATCGTATGATTTTCCTTTAGCCTCAGGCTTGACTCAGCTTGGTATCATTACTGATCCTATCTCCCAGAATTGTGGCTCAGACAACTAGTGATGGAAAATCCAAGAGAAGCAGGCTGGGCATGGTGGTTCACACTTGTAATCTCAGCACTTCAGAGGCGAAAGAGAGAGGATTTCCTGAGCTCAGGGGCTCAAGACCAGCCTGGGCAACTTGATAAGACCTTGTCTCTACAATAATTTAAAAAAATAGCTGGGCATGGTGGTGCACACCTTTGGTTCCAGCTACTTGGAAGACTGAGTAGGAAGGATCACCTGAGTCCAGCAGGTTGAAGTTGCGGGAGCCATGAGTGTGCTGCTGCGGTCCAACCTGGCTGATAGAGTGACAATCTGACTCAAAAAAAGGAAAAGAAAATCCAAGAGAAGTAGTAATTTGCCTGTTCAGAAGAGGGTGAGGGAAGAGGAAGAATTTAGTATTGGAGATAGTGAGTTAGAGGTGTGTGTGGGCCATCCAGGTGTGCACCTCTGAGAACCCAGGCTAGAGTTAGGGTTAGAAATGAGGGAGTGACTGGGCTCGGTGGCTCAGCCTGTAATCCCAGCACTTTGGGAGGCCAAGGTGAGTGGATTGCCTGAGCCTGCGGGTTCGAGACCCGCCTGGGCAACTTGGGGAGACCTCATCTCTACAATAAATCAAAAATTAGCCGGGCGTGGTAGCGTGCACCTGTAGTTCTGGCTACTTGGAAAGCTGAGGCGAAAGGATCGCTGGAGCCCAGCAAGTTGAGGCTACGGTGGCTGGGAGCGTGCCACTGCACTCCAGTCTGGGCAACAGAGTGAGACTCCAACTCAAAAAAAAGAAAGAAAGAAATGAGAAAGTGGGAGTCGTCTGCAAGATGCAGGTGAGAATTGATGGGAAGGTAGACAAGGCACTGTTATTGTACATTCTTGGCCCACGATTGGTGCATACTCAGCACATGTGGTCTAAATCATTGGTCCTCAGAGTTTGCGTCATAGTTCAGGAATCTTCAAATTCTCTCTCATCCAACATTTTTCTCTTCTTCTGCATCATGAATCTCAATTATGTTCCCACATGGGTGTGGAAGTTTATGGCTTGGGTGTTAACATAAAAATATCTTCTGAGAAAATTACAAACAACTAAATTCCTCTCAAATTTGGAGAATGGGGCTAAAGGGAGAAAGAATTAATATAAATTGTCTCCATGTCTTTTTTCTTAGCTGATACTCCAGAAAGAGAATAAGAGGTAAAAGAAATTAAAAAGAAAAAAGGTAATAGTAAAGGAAAGAAAAAAAGAAAGATTATAGGCGCTAAAAATATTGTGAGGAAAGCCTGGCTAAGCATCAAAGGAGGGCAGATGTGTTTCCAAATAGAAGTGGTGGTTTAGATATGTCAGGAAGCACAGCTCCAAATGATGGGTGAAAAATCAAGGTTGCTTAGACTGAACTCAGCAGAATAAAAAGCTTCATGGGAGACTCAAATTGAGGAACAGATCTTTCAGTAACACGGAAGCTCTACTTCAACCCTGAGTTCTCTGGATCAAGTGCTGGCACCAATGATGGAAACTCTTGCCATAACTTTAGGACCCTGAACCAAACGGTCTTTCCATCTTGATTTCATAGTTCTAAGCAATCTTCAATGAGACAATCTCTGTTAAAGATTAGCCACTTTTGATATCTTATCCTCAGGTACCCACGTCCCTTTCTATCTAATGAAGCCTGAAATATTCTGAACAACTCTCATAATTGAGGAGGAATATAGTTCCCATATATACACCACTTCTGTAAGGTCAATCAGTCTAACAAATATTTAACAAAGATGGAGCAGGGTGCTGTGATACCCAAGTCAGAACAGAAATCTTCCCCACCTTCAAGAGGCTCTCATGGCTTGGCTTCTATAAGCCAGATTGGTGCACATGAAGGGCCTGAGACAAAGATCATATCAAATGTCATTCAGACCATGGACAAAAGGGCTCAAGAAAGGAATGGGGCAAAATATTAATAATGTTAATAAACACATTATTTACTGAGTGCTTACTATGCCCCCAGGACCATGCCATGTACTTCAGATGCATTTTCCCACTTTATCCTCATAGTAATCCTTGGGTAGGCATGATTACTATCACCATTTCACAGATGAGGAAATTAAGGTTCAGAGATGTGAATTCACTTGCCTGTTGAGAGATGAATCTGGGATACCAACTCAGGCAGACAACTAACTTATTTTTTTTTTTTTGAGTTGGAGTCTCACTCCGTCACCCAGACTGGAGTGCAGTGGCCACTCCCGGCCACCGCAGTCGCGACCTGCTGGGCTCCAGTGATCCTTCCTCCTCAGCCTTCCAAGTAGCTGGAACTACAGGCACGCGCTACCACGCCCAGCTGATTTTTTATTTATTGTAGAGATGAGGTCTTGCCAAGTTGCCAAGGAGGGTCTCGAACCTGCAGGTTCAAGCAATCCACTCACCTCAGCCTCCCAAAGGTGCGGGATTACAGGCTGAGCCACCGAGCCCGGCCGACAACTAACTTTGAAGTCTAGAGAAAGTTTCGTGACAGGGAAAGCATGAGAACCAGGCCTAGGTATAGCAGGTATATGGGCTGATAAGATGAGAGGGCAGTGTAGACTTTGAGACTAGCCTTTGTTGATTACTAGCTATGGGACCTGGGGCATGGTTCTTGAGCACTTTGTGCCTTCCATTTCTTTATCTATAAAATGGAGAACTATACCCAAACTAGTAGAGCTGTTAGTAGCATTTCATGACATGATGTCTGTAAAATGCCTAGAACAGTGCCTGGCCTTTAGTAAGCATTCAGTAAATACTAATTTTATTGACATAGGAGAAATAGCACAGGCCAAGGGACCCTGGGCTAGTTCTGGGTACCCAGGATAGTTAGTACCCGGCTTAGGTGAGGGTTACCGGTTGGCGCACATCAACTAAAGGGAGAGAAGGCAGAATTTGATTCAAGTTGTAGAGTATGCATCAGAGACATAGCTGTGTCACTTGGCCATGGAGTAAAAGACCTAGGAAAGTAACCAAAATGAATGAGTGTCTGGAAAGAGGAGGTGCAAGAGAGCCCAACTCAAAACAAGGAGAGAAGAGAAACAGAACAGTAACTTCTATTGCTTCCTCTTTGCTTGATAGTTCCCTTCTGTCTCTGCTCTGCAGAGTAAAGGCAGTGGTAATGTTTAGGTAGCCCAAGGGCCTTGTGCCACTCTCCAAGATTCACCAGCTTTGAAAGGCTGCTTGCCTGCCCAATCTCCAGACATTCGCAAACTTTCCCAAAGACGAACATGTTCCAAGGCCCTATTCTAAAACTGACCCACCTCTTGGGAGGTGAGGCCAGGGCTCACTGCTGAATGGGCGCCATTGTACTCCCAAGTGTCTGTGGGTCCAGATGCCATAGGTCTGAAGATGGTTCCACCACAGCCTGCGGTGCAGTCTGCCTGCAGACTTTGATTCACTCCAGGGACAACACTTGAGAATTCAAACAGGCAACACAAGTGATTCCAGGAACCCCTGCCAGACTCATACTCTGTTTTTCCATCATTTCACTCTCCTTCCCCTGGGGATGGAGCCTCCTTTGGCATTTCGCGTATGAAAAATCAAAACCACCAACAGGAGGAGCACCTGATAAGGACAGAGACATTGCCCAAGAGTTCCCAGGAAGAGGTGTCTTTGTTCTTGATTCAAGCCCTCGATACTGCTAACAGCTCTAATTACTGCATTTGCCATGGGATGTAAAATAAAACCACATTCCAGAAACCATGTAGTCTCCCCGGGAGAGACACGCAGGGAGAGGTGCCCAGGACTGCAGGAACGTGTTCTTTCATTTCTGGTCCCTAACCTTGGCAACCTTACTAGGAATTTAACAGTACCTTCTTTATGTGCATGGAGGAGGGCACCTTACATATGTAGAGATGTATCTCACTACCTGTATTCACAAATCTGGTCTGCATATTTGACTACATTTTGTGCAAATCATGCTTCTTAAGAACGTTAAGACCTTCCAAATTCACCCAAGCTATTTTGGGGAAAATGAGGACTTCAGAAATTTCTGAGGCTATAAGCAAAACAAAATAGAACTTTTTTCAACATAAGTTAACAATAAAATCTGATGATGTAACACCCATTCACACTCACATCACAAACCAAAGTGACATCACAAATACTAGAGATAATGGCTCCAAACTGCCTGCATGTAAGTCAAAATCTAAACAAACTGTAATTTGTCCATACGTGACTGAGGCAGAGAAAGACAGATGACTAGAAATATTAAAACAAAGAGAAAAAGGATAAAGAAAATACATATTTCTTCCCCCTACTAAGCTAGCTAAAATAAAATTTAAGGCAACTGAAATATGGTAAGATGATTTTATTTTTTATAGATGACATTCCTTAGAAAGCCAGGTCTCTTTAAGTATGTGATTCTAATATATTCAAATTTTTCTCTTGCTCTTGGCTTGTCCCGGGAAACGGAGGCTAGCATCATTTCCATTGTGCTTTTTTGCCTTTATGGATTCCTGACTGGATTTATTTCCCTGTGTGGCAGCTCTTCTTGTCACATGGCAGTTAGGCTAGAAAGTATAAGTCAGGAGTTGAAAGTTTACCTCTGTCATTTCTGTGTTGCAGCATAGTTGAGTGTCCATGACTCATGTCGAAGTCTTGAGTGACCCTGTCTGCCTTCCACTCCTTCTCTCTCCAGTAGACAGGAATTGTCTTCTATTTCTTGGAAACATTCCCTGACCTCTGACTTCCTGCCCCAGCATGCTGTGTTCTTTGACAGCCTGAATATCACCATTACATTGGGAAGTTACTTTTTCTTCCCTACTTGGTACAGAATGTGTTAGCGAGCAGGAGAGAAGACTTATAGCAAGAGTTCTAAGAATTGTATGGTAGGAATGGTCTACAGAAGATGTCAAGTCTCTGCTTGAGAACCAGTCTCTTTTTAAAAAATTTTCCCCACCCCTTTATAATTCTAGCATTCAATCTACATGAGACGAGACCCCAGCATCCCTATCTATGGACTCCGACAGTCCATTTTACTAAACACCAGGCTGCAGGACTGCTATGTGGACTCACCAGCTCTCATCAACATCTCGATGGCCAGAACATGTGCAAAGCAGAACATCAATGCTCTTGTACCAGGTACAACCTCTTCTTGGGAAGTCGTAAAGGACCCGTTAATTACCAGTTCATTCCCCCTGGTTAAGCTTATGCTCAGGCGGCAACTGAAGGATAAGTGCTGTCCAGTACCACCCAAGTTTGGAGAAGCAAAACTCTCGAAGAGATTAAAGCCCAAGGACAGTTCGGTGACGAAAGCCACCCCGCCGGCCAGGATAAGAAACCCCATCAGTTCCAGGAGCAAGCAGTCAGCCGGGCAGCTGCTGGGCTCACCTAGGCGCAGGAGGTCTGCAGGAGGCATCAGAGAGGTAGATGATGGTCAGTGGTGGAGAAATGTGATGGGCGGGAGAGGGAAAAGTAAAACGAGAGGACACTCAACGCTTAAGAGATTTATGCTGGCCAGGCTTGGGAGGCAGAGGCAAGTGAATTGCTTGAGCCCGCGGGTTCGAGACTCTCCCGGGCAACTTGTCGAGACCACGCCTCTACAATAAAATACAAAATAGTCGGGCGCGTTAGCATGCGTCTGTAGTTCCGGCTACTCGGAAGGCTGAGGTGGGAAGGATCGCTGGAGCCCAGAAGGTCGACGCTGGGGTGGCCGTGAGCGTGCGGGCCACTGCACCCCAGGCTGGGTGAAGGAGTGAGACTCCAACTCAAAAGAAAAAAAGACTTATACTGGCTGGGCATGGTGGCTCAGCCTTGTAATTCTAGCACTTTGGGGTGGCCAAGGCAAGAGGACTGCCTGAGCCTGAGGGTTCGAGAACAGCCTGGGCAACTTGGTGAGACCTCTTCTCTACAATAAATCACAAAAACTAGTCAGGTGTGGTGGTGTGCGTCCGTAGTTCCAGCTACTTGGAAGGCTGAGGTGAAAGGATCGCTTAAGCCCATGCGGTGGCCATGAATGTGCCACTGTACTCCAGTCTGGTGACAGAGACTCCGTCTCAAAAAAATAAAAAGAGATTTAAACCAAATGAAGGAAATCCTAGAGTTGTAGATAAGATGGGGGTGGGTGTGGGATAAGAGTGGAGGCAGTCCCATATGTGGGGTCATGGCTATTGATTATTTATTCTGTGTGTAGTTCTATAGAAGGACAAGATGGCTTTCATCAATACAGACAAAAGGAACTTGATGTAAAGGAAAAATAAAAGTGAGAAAGGCGGTTAGGATATGGGTAGTGTGTGCTTGTGCACATACACACACCAGAAGTAAGTTATTGATCTGGCTGTGAACTTCCACATGGAAAACTTGGCTTCCAGAAGCCTGATCAGAGTCTGGCTCCAACTCCACGGTGGCCAGTAGCCCGTCAAGGTTCAAATCCCAGCTTTGACTATAATGGAGAACAAATTCGGGCTTAATTTCTTTGTGCCTTGATATTATCATATAAAATGGGGGATAATGGCCCTTTCCTCACAGGGCTTCAGAGTCTGGCAGAGTAAATAATTAGGATCCTGCAGTGGCATTCAATAGATGACAGTTGTGGTTATTAACCTTCTAGCTGTGTGGCCTTGGGCAAACCACTTCCAATTTCCTTGCCTTTAAAGCTGTCTCCTGCTGACCTTACAGGGCTATGAGGAACACACACAGTGGTATACATAAAGGAATTCAGTAAACTAAAGCATGCTAGACAAATGTTGGTTGTTGCTGTTACCAAGACTCTGGGACACAAATCCCAGATAATTATTCTGAGCTCCCTTCTCAAGTTTTAGCTTTGACTTCTCTGCTTTCTTCCTGGCTAGAGTAAAGAAAGTTCAAAGGAGAAAAAACTAACAGTCCGCCAAGATCTTGAGGACAGATATGCTGAACATGTGGCTGCCACCCAAGCACTACCCTGGGACAGCGGGACAGCAGCCTGGAAGGGCCAACCATTGCTTCCTGAAAGCCGAAAGAAACAGCAGTTGTCAGAGGACATGCTAACCATCCATGGCCTTCCCACAGAGGGTTATCGGGCTCTGTATCACGCTGTGGTGGAGCCAATGCTGCGGAATCCTTCAGGAACTCCCAGGAGGTACAGCTTGGAACTGGGCAAGGCTATTAAACAAAAGCTCTGGGAGGCTCTGTGCAGTCAGGCTGCCATCCCCAAAGTTGCTCAGAAGGACCTGTCCCTGGGCAGGAAGCGGCCGGGCGTCTATAAGAAGCCTGTGCTCAAGAAATGGCCCAAGTTAAAGAGCAAAAAATAGGAACAGGAACTCATGGTGTTAGGACATTCTCTGCTAGATGTCTGAAAAATAAACACCAATTTGTACCTTCTACGTAATCTCAGAGTGCTTTATAAATTTGAGACCACTCTCTCAAGGAAACAAGGCAAATGCATACTAGATTCCGTCAAGACTGAGGGTTCATCTAGATCCACTCATGATTAGGTCATTTTGAGGGCTAAATGCTTGGAGGTTTTTCCTACATAGGCTTGAGGGTCTTTCAGTTTTTAAGGTAGGAAAATGACCAACAGATGAAGCAGATGGTTTACATCCAGCCCACGGTTCTGATTTTAAAAACAGGACTTCCAGGATCTTGGTAATCAATTACCATCTTCCCTAGCTCCCTTCACACAGGGCTGAGCAGAAAGCCTATCACCACCTCAAGGATGTAAACCTACACATTCTCTAGCAGGTGCTCTCCCATGACACTACGCAAATCCCCAATAACCTGAACTCTATGTTAACAGGTAAGAAAGTTATACAGATGCTTCCATGGGCAAGTTTAAGTTAAAATCACTGCCCCATTGTAGAAGACTGTAGAATCTTAGACCTTTGCTGAACAGAGCAATGACAACATGTAACATATACTTGATAAAATTGTATTTTTTTAAAGTCATTTGTACAATTTGTTACAAAACCATAGAAGACTACAACTTGTTTTAAATCATTTTTGGTCTGCAAATATGTAAAATCTGTGTGCAATTATCATGTATTTACAGGGCCTTGTGTTAGTCATTTTCAATGATTATTCCAACAATGTCACACTCTCAACATAGGACATGGCTTAAGATAAATATATTAGTAAATAAATATTCTGAGAACATATTTCCATAAATGAAATGTGCTGCTATACATATACAGAATATACATAAGTTGTTTTCTAGCTTTTAAAACATTTTTAAAAATGGTAATGTTGGAAAAAGAGCCCTTAGACCATTTTATTACAAAATCTTTACAGCAAAGTCTTTACAAAATATCTTTTAAGTGCTATGGGAGAAATAAAAAAAAACATTTAAAAATAGTGCTTGTTAGACCAACATAATAGAATTTATATAAAGAATGGTAGAAAAAGGCAGTTCTGTTTAAAAAATAATACTCTTGATTAGTAATCATTTTTTAGACCTCATTTTAAAAGCATTAGTTCTGTAAGAACTTTGAGTAGAGACCAGCAGCACATAAGGGAGGGTCTGAATAGTGGAACAGAAGATGGGGCTTTAGGAAGGGTTGGGGTTAGGAGAGGGGGAAGGACTGAGAGTTATAACTGGCTTACTGGGGCTATGTCTGCAAATAGGTACCTTGTTGGTCAGAACACCCACACCTCCAGTTTTAGCTGGTTCTAGAATTCTTCTGTTTACATGGCTGTGTTATACCCAGAGCTAGGTCACTTGGCCACACTCAACCAGCACACACTGACTTGGAAGGGGAAGGGTGGGGTTTTCAGTGGAACATGAGATGCTCCCATTTTCCAAGGCTATATACTACAGACCACTGAGAATCCACCAAAAAGGTACTTGTCATTTTTACTTAAGTCTCACAACCTCAAAGAAGACATTTCTTTTGACTGAAATGGTGATGAAATAAGATGACTGGTTCTTTTATTCTGGTGATCTCTCGGTCTCATAAGCCAACACAAGTTCAAAAGATAATGGTTGATACTTAGAGTTTTTACATTTTTATTTTTGTTTCTACTACCTGTCAACTACCAAAATTTAATGTATTTCTTTTGCCACCTGCAGTTACCACTCTTCCAAGTGAAAATTTTATTTATTTTAATGAGCTCAGTAGAAGCCACATTCTCCACTCATCTATTTATTGCTTAAGGCTATTGAGTAGTTTTCCAGCCAGGGCTAAAGAAAGCCACTTTGGGAGTACGGTTTCGGACAAGGAAGATAATATGCACTCAAAGACATTAAAAAACAAAAAAGCAAAACCACAAACAAAAAAAATTTCAACAAGAAGAAGCTGTTTTTGCAGTTCATGTTAAAAGCCGTACCCCCTTCCCTAAAATCACAAGCTGTTGTCCTCAGCAGCTGCTACTCCTGGCCCAAGCAATAAAGGCGGCCCAGATCACATGTCAACAGCTTAGGCGCTTCTCACACCCTCACCAACAGGTGTGCTGGGCACAGCCAGGGAAGCAGCCCCCAAGGGACTGCACCCTAGAGTCTGGAGGACAAATCTCACCATAGCAAGCCCCTAAATGGCAAATGACTTGATTATCTGACGCTGAAATTCTTTTCTGTCAAATCCTGGCTAGAAATAAGTAAAATTTGTCATTGTACACTGGGGTTTTTAAGAAAAAAGTATTTTGATATAGTGAGATTCTCATTCAGAACATTCTGGTCTGGACCCTGGACTGACTTCTTGTGAGCCTGACTGGAGAGGGACCATCATAGTCGCCTGGCAACCCAGGGTGATTTGTATTTCCTCACCTACAGGGGGTCAGGACCCAAGGTTCCTATTCTGCAAATGAGGTTTTAGACCCAATGGGCCAACTCCTTCAGATGGCAACAAATATCTGCTGAATAAACAAATAAAGTGACCAGAAGAGTTAATGAACACAAGGGATAATATGATTAGTTTCCTTTACAAAAAACAAAAATTAAAAATAAAAACAACAAGGAATACATTGGACAAAAAGGATGACAATCCCTGATCTGAAATACCTTTAAATAGATTCTCCCTTTAAAAAATGAAACATCTTAAAAACAAAACGGTTTGGGTTTTTTAAATCTCCCTCCCCCTTAAAACAAAAGGCTGGAAAAATATATAAAAACCGGCCTTTTGGGTCTAAACTATCTGATAGTCTCTTTCTCTGTCTCACGGAGAATCAATACATAATAGTGCATTAGGTAGACAGGATAGTAGACATTTGTAGGTGAGATGAGCAATTTCAGCCATGAGGCAGAGGGCTGAATAACCCTGAAGCGGTGCTTCTGTGGGAAAATGGGGTGGGAAGGGTATCATTCAAACGGAGCTCAGTGCAGACCTCGTGGGTTCAGGCATGTGCCCCCAGCAAGGCAGCCCGAGGAAGCAGCAGCCAAGGGGCATGGCTGCCCCCACATAAACGCATGCGCACAGCACGCCCCAGTGCACAGTGGTGCGCTGCCAGGTTAGTGGAGAGCACCTTCCTTCAGCCCCATTGGACACCAAGGCCACAAAACTACATTCCTTCTGGGTGTTTGTCCCCACACCCCTTTGAGCCATTTCTGCAGCCAGTGACAGGAAGCCTAAACTATTTTTGCAAAGGACTCCAAAGTTAGGACTGCCAAGGGAGAAAAGCCTCTTCTTTCTGCCCCAGGGATCAGAGTTCAGATGGAAAACCCCAAGAGTTCTCCTCCTTACCATTACCTGGGCTTTGGCTAAGATTAGGGCTGGGAACTCTGTCATTTTATTTGGGACAATGTCCCGAGGAGACAGATTGAGGATACTGGCAGAATCATCCCTGTCACCCTGGAGCTTCCATGGCAATAGCCTGACCTGACTCCCCAGTGCTGCATACCTTGTACACATACCCTCTTCCTACTTGTTTTCATCACATGCCTAAAGATTTGGGCTGGAGAGGCATGGCTTCCGAGGAGAGCTGACATTTTTGTACACTGGGATTTGCCACGAGAAAGGAAGAGGCAGCTTTGCATTGTTCCTCAGAGTTTGTACCCATATCAACTAGCTTTTTTTCAAGTTTCTGGTTCATTTTCTAAGGCAGGTGTAGCCCTGAGCTTTTCAAAGGCCTGAGCTCCCTCCAGGGAGACAACAGTATCTACACATGATGTGGTTCATTTAATGCAGCAGTGATTTTTTTTTTTTCTTTTTCAGCAAAAGTTGGCGGTTAGGGTTCTTTAAAATATATATTTAAATAACTTTTTACATTTACATACAATATCTTAAAAAAACAAAGCAGAGAACTCAATCCCACACACCTCCGAACCCCAAGCACACACACTTTACAAAACAGAAGAATAACATGTTATCAAAAGAAGCAAAGGACTCAGAGAATTTTGTCTGTTGGTTTGTTAATGGGGTGGGGGGTACTTTTGCCACAGGTGGCTCACATTTTGGGTTGAGAAGGAGGGCTCTCTTTATTACCACTTTTGTGTGTTTGTCAAAGCTAAAAAAATGTGTTTTCTTTTGAAGGAAGTTGGAGTTTGGAGTTTCCACACAGTTCTCAATTTCCAGATAAGAGTTCCTTCTGAGCTCAGGCTCCTGTGCCACTGCTGTCTGCTGGGTGAAATTCCAGTTCTGGAAGAGAGAGAACGATCATCAGGGAGGGCGATTAGGGACAACGCACAGGGACCTGGCCAGGCACTCAGGTGGCCCTGTCTCTGGTATGCAGCAGGCTCTTAGGAAGCTCACAGTTGTGGATGGACTGCGTGTATGCTAAAGGGCCTCTTCCGAGAGGGCTCAGCCTGTGCTAAGAGCACTGGTGCCTCCTGGAGAGCTGGCCTTCCTCTTCTGGATGTGCAGGGACTTCTAAACATTCTCAGGTAGCATGAAAATACAATATACAAAAAAGATGCTAACTGGGTGCCCAGTTGTGTCAGGCACTGGGAAGAGAGGCAAAGAGGACTTCCTCACTGAACTTAGAGACCCCAAAGTAATTTAGGATTGGAATGACTTAGGAGGTTAACAGAAGGTGTGAAAGTGACCGCAGGGGGTTGGAAGGCCATTTAAGCTATCTGAAGGAGAGAAGGAGTGGAGAAGTCCGGGAGCTGGAGTGAGCTCAGCAGGTTGGGGGAACAGGACAGAGGCACAGGGGGCTAAAGTAGAGAGCAAGGAGTGAAACAGGAGTGGTTAGATAGACTGGTGGGACCAGATCATATAGAAGTGGGTGACAAGTTACTGTTTTTAACATTTTACAAAGGGGCAACTCCTTCGGGTCCTCTCCCACTGTGGGAGGTTTTCTGTCCTCTCAATAAATCCTGCTTTCTAAAAAAAAAAAAAAAACAACCCCTCCCCCCCAAAAAAAACCCAGTATTATCTTTTGGAGGACTGGCCCCTTGTAGTATACTCAGAATTTGTTCCTCTAGATCAAACAGTCAACCAAAGTTTTTATCTGGAGGTTTTGAGAAGGTTGCATGATTTGTGGAAGAAACATCCCAAGCTGTGGCAAACAGGTGACCGATTCTTCCACCATGACAACGCACCTGCCCATACCATGCTGAATGTTCCGCAGTTTCTGACCAAAAATAGCAACTCCTGTGCCCCACCCTCCCCATTCACCTGATCTTGCTCTGACATTTTTTTTGTTTCCCCAGATGAAAAAAGTTTTCAAGGGGAAAACATTTTGCTGATGTGGAAGAGATGAAACAAAAAATGGCAGAAGCATTAAAGGCATCAAAATTAATGAGTCCAAAAATTGTTTTGAGCAGTGAAAAAAGCATCTCAATAGGTGTATTACTAAAGTTTAAACATGTAAGAATACACAACTTGCCAGGCTCGGTGGCTCAGCCTGTAATCCCGCGCCTTTGGGAGGCTGAGGTGAGTGGATTGCCTGAGCCCGTGGGTTCGAGACCCGCCTGGGCAGCGAGACCTCATCTCTACAATAAATCAAAAAATTAGCCGGGCGTGGTAGTGCATGCCTGTAATTCCGGCTACTTGGAAGGCTGAGACGGAAGGTCGCCAGAGCCCAGCAGGTTGAGGCTGCGGTGGCTGGGAGCGGCCACAGCACTCCAGTCTGGGCGACAGAGTGAGACTCCAACTCAAAAAAACAACAAAAAAAACACACAACTCTTTATAAATAAATTGGATTTTTGGGGTCCCCCCTTGTAAAGCTACTGGCAAGTCATGAAGGGTTTTCTGGCACAGACATCAACTATGTTTCAAAAAAGGCCACTCTGGCTCCCAAGCAGAATAAAAGGCAAGACTAGTGACAGCAGAACAGTCAGAAGGGCCTTTGTCCCAGAGAGAGAAAATGGGGCTAGACCTAGGGATATACAACAGGGATGCACAGAAGTAGGTAAATTTGATGGACTTTGGAGGTAGAACTGGTCACATTGCTACTCAGAGATACCAGACTGCACAGTTTATCACTGAGGGAAAATGTTTGGAAACTTTATAGCAGTTTGAAGCCTGTTGAATCTAATAACAGCAAATCTGGACTTGTATTTTACCTCTTTTGCTACATATCATTTTTCTGGAGCAGGGAGAAAACAAGCAAATGGGATCTTTCAGGGCCGGCTGAGAAGCCCAGAATGCTAGGTTGTAGGCAGGGCACAAGGATGTGGCCTGGGTTTTGGGCCTGAGCATCTGGATGGAGATCCTTGGGGAAGGGGGCAGGGCAGAGGGGGAATGAGAGCACCACTGTAAACATGACAGATTGGGAGGCTCTGGAGACATCAGGGGAGAGATCACGGAGACCATGGAAGCAGAGGGCTCAACAGGTTTGGATCTCTGAGGAAGGATCAGATTGGGAGATAACCCTTGGAAGTAATCAGCCACAAATGGTGTTTAAATCTAAGGGCACAAAGGCATTCAGAAAACACCTGAGGAGACAGAAGAGGACCCCCCCCATGAAAGCTCCTGCTCTTACCTGTAGCCTCAGTGGCTGTGGCGCTGGACTCCTGAGTGTCCTGGGGGGCACTGGGAAAGCTGGCACTGGTGGCACCCACCTCCTCTGAAGGGCAGCCAGGCTGTAGCAGTGACCCAGCCTGGCAGCGCAGAGCCTGTTCCTCTTCCCAGGCTGCTCCTAGGCCCCTGTGGGGCCGTGGAACATCTGGACCCGGCGTCCCACCCCAGGGGCTGAGGCTGTGGGTTCCTTGACAGTCCAAGGGCAGGCCCAGGTCACAGTCCACATCCTCCGGAATGATGGGGATGCGCTGGCTCAGGTCCCGGGCCCCTGGGTAGCAGCTGGGTGGGGGTTCCTCGGTGAGCGTGTACTGCACACTCACCGAATAGTCCTCAGTGTAGCAGCCGCTGCCCCCTCCGCTGCCATGGGCCACCTGCTTCTCTTCATAGAAGCAGCAGGGCAGGCCCTCATATTTCACCCCATTTGTCCTGGGCAAATGGTCTGGGTGAAGGCCATACAGGCCCTGGGAACTTCCTGGCTGTGGCTCCCCACCTGTGGGGACACAGCCCTCACAGACAGGGGGGCCCAGGAACAAGGTGCTGCTGCCAGTTGCTCCTGCACTGGGTCCCAGTGGGGTGGGCTGGGGCTCACAGCAGCAGGCACATGACAGCCCCTCATGGCCCCCCTTCCAGGTCCTCTTGAGTTCTGGGGCGGCCCCAGGAGAAACCTCGAGCCCCACTTCTGAGGTAGAGCTATTGGGCCCCCTGTGCTCCAGGGAGGAGTTGCTGCTATAGTTCATCTCCAGGCTGCAGGTGGACAGCTGGTCCCCTAAGGGAGAGGCAGGGCCCAACCAAGGCTCTCCCCGCCCAGCACCATGACTGTGTGCTGCCAGGAGCTCCTCAGGTGGCGGGGAGCCCTCGAAGCGCACAGCAGGCCCCCTGCCTGAGCTGCCTGAGCCCCCAGCCTCACTGGTGTGACAAGGGCTCCGGCTACGGTAGATGAAGGGGTCATAGTCACTGCTGAGGGAGCTTCGGAAGGTGGAGCAGCTCCCGTACACGCCCTGGTTGCTGACCTCAGTGCAGTCTACCACAGAGTCACTGGAGGAACAGTGGCACTGGCCAGAGCTGCTGCTACTGCTACTGTCGCTGCCTGGACAGTCGGCCAGGTAGCCACTGCACACTGAGCGGTGGCCATGGTAGCAGCTGAAGCTGGATGTGCTGCCGCTCTCCAGGTGGGAGGGCGGGGCCATGTGCACCACAGTGGGGAAGAGCAGGCTGCTGCTGCCACTCGGTGGAAAGGCACGGGACGAGCCCCTAGGAGAAAGGCTAGGTGGGGGCTGCCCTTCCTGCTCTGGGTAGCTGAGGCCCTGGAAGTAGTAGTGTTGGTACATGGTCTCATACTGAGAAAAGCAAGCTGCCTTGGAGAAGCTGCGGCCGCTAAACTTGGGCCTGCGGAAGGGGTGGGCTGGTGAGTAGGCCCGGTGCTCCAGGCCACAGCGGTGAGCGGCCAGTGTATGGTCCAGGTGGAGGGGTGGGTAGCCACGGATATAGGCAGGGGTCTGTGGAGAATAGAGGTTCTGCTCCCCATGCCGGTCCACGGTCAGCAGGGTGACGGGATTCCCATGAGAGTCCATGCTTGTCCTGGTAGGGTAGGCTGGGATGGCATTGGTCCTGTGCACGCGGCCGGGGTAATGCACGGGCAAGGTCACCCTTGGCTGCCGGCCGCGTGAGAGGTTGCTTGTCTCCACACACACAGCGCTTGGGTTTCCCTTTTGTTCTGGGGAAAGATGGAGGACACAGAGTAAGCAGGGCTGAGCACATTCTCTCAGGGGCTAGAGGGATAAAAGGTCAAAGACCAAAGCAGCAGACTCGGTCCCATGCCAAGATGTCCATTCTCTTGACCCTGTCCCAAACTAAGGTGTTCCCAAACTCTGTTGCATGGCAGAGACTGACCTGCCTCTCCATGTGAAAGGGCCCATCTCCTGTAAGGGCATCCCCACTCCTTTGCCTGACACCGGCACCACAGGAGTTTAGAGACAGGAACAGGGATAGGAAATAAAGTCCCTCCACCCTCTGTCCAATAACACAGCGATGCAGAAGCAATAATGCAAGCCTGTCACTGCGCACTCATTGCCATTTGTGGCTCTGGGAACAACCCCATGGCAAATATTACCATCATTGCCACTAAAGAGATTAGGGACACCTCAGGCCTGAAAAGACCAAATATCAGGACCAAGGTCAGGAAGCTGGTTATTGTAAAGCTCAAACTTGAACACAGGGTGATTCTTAATGTCAGATTTTCCCAAGGGTTGGTGCAGCCAACCTCCAAAACCCAAAGCTTCCATGCCTCCAAGTTGAAGTCCAGAGAATAATGCTGCAGTGGTACTGCTCACTCCCAAGCCTGCAGTCATACTCTAGCTAGGCACTTGGTAGGGAGTTTCCTCCAACTTGACTCTTCAGCGTTGACTGAGGCAGCTGACAATTACCTATGATGTTGTGCCGACAGTGGGGGCAGGTGTGGTGCTGCAGCAGCCACGGGTCCACGCACTTCCTGTGAAACCGGTGAGTACAGGGGATAACCCGCAGCTCCTGGGCAGGGAGAGAGGGGATACAGCCTGAAGGGAGGGCACAGGAGGAAAGACAGGTCTGCCTTCAGCTCTGCATGTGCCTTCCTGTGGAGCCCTGCGTGGACCAAGGAACCCTCTCACCACGCCAGTGCCCTTCCCACTTTCCTCCCCACCTCCAGCTACGGGTTAGCTCAATTCCCCAGAGGCAGGGCCCATGGAAGCATTCTAGGGAGAAGGAAACTCCCCACTGGCCAGCCTCAACCACAGCCCTCAGTGCTAAGGGAGGAGAAGCACATTGAGGCAGACTCCTGTAGTTGGGGGAGGCCACGCAAATTCACACCACCACACAGGAAAGACCGGTGAGTACAGGGAATAACTCACAGCTCCTGGGCAGGGAGCTGCGGGTTATCCCCTAGTGGTAGCTTCCTGCAGGTACCCCAAATGGAGATGAGTAGAAAGGAAGCTGCCTGGGACTGTTATTGATGGGTAGGGCAGCAAAGGAACAAGCTCTCCTATACTAGACCCTAAACATTCACCATGGGGCCCCATGGTTTATAGCAAAAGTAGCTTATCTAGAGAGAAGGTAAAGGGATTTTCTGGGGGCAGAACCACCCCTGACATTATGAGCATAAACATGCACCAAACTTGCTCATTTTACTTCTTTTCATTTTTGGACCTGGAGTGCACAATAATATTCTAATACCTAACAGTGTGCCTGACAGCGTCAAAAGGCCTACCTAGGTTTTCTCATGTAACCTTCATGACCACCTGGAAAGCTGGTCAGTCTCAAGTGCAAGCACAGAGAATGAAGTCACTTGCCCAAGATCACAAGGCTAGAACCCACTTGGACCACAATCAGAACGAAGAGTCCATACAAGAATCTCTTATTCTAAGGGCCTCTGCAAAAATTCAATTTTCATCCATACACAGCAGTGGAAAATTTTCATCAAAGAGGCATCAAGTGTCTGCAATTCTCAAAAAGAGGGGATTTTGTTCCCTGTTCCCCAAATGTGTGTTTGCATCTCTCTAGAGGGAGGGAGATTAACCAAATGTTGAAAATGTTAACAATGGGTGATTCTAGGAGACTGACATATATTACTCCTGATACTATTATTTTCTCTCTTTTTTTCTAGTCAGGATCTCACTCTGTCACTCAGACTGGAGTGCAGTGGCATGATCATGGCTCACCACAGCCTCAACCTTCTGGACTCAGGCGATCTTCCTGTTTCAGCCTCCTGAATAGCTGGAACTACCAGCATGTGCCACCATACCTGGCTAATTTATTTTTTTGTAGAGATGAGGTCTCGTTTTGTTGCCTAGGCTAGTCTCGAGCTCCTGGGATCAAGTAATCCTCTCACCTCAGCCTCCCAAAGTACAGGTATTATAGGTATGAGCCACCACACCCAGCTGATACTATTCTTTTCTAAGGATTTGAAAATTTCAAAATAAAGAGCTACAAGAAAGAAAGGGAGGGAAATTAAATCCATGATCTCTCTGTAACTAAAAACACCCTGTCAAGTATTAAGTCTCAGAGTTTTTAGAAGAGTGATTATAAAACAAAGCCAGTGTGTGTGTAAGTCAGATCTTTTCTGACCTACCATATATTTAAAAAATTTTTTTCTTTACCATATATTTGTGATCAACATCTGAAATCCCCTATGTCTAGCTGGCTTCTCTGGAGAATATGTCTCTACATTGTAGCCACCCTTTCCTACAGGGAAGTGGTTAGAACATCTCAGGACATCCCCCCAGAGATCTGGGCGCTTAACCCCTTTAGCTGCTGCAAAGCTGTGGGAAAGAATATGGGACCCTGTCCTTTTATGTCCTGGGTACCTCTGCTGACCTGCCCACTGCAGCTCCACTCAAGTTGGGGCCTGCCCCTGCCATTACCTCTCCGTCAATGTACTTCTCCAGACAGATGGCACAGTCAGATGTGGAACTGCTGCTGAGTGTGTCCAGAGCTCCACAACTCCCCTCCCGGCGTCCTTTGCTCTTGGAGTTGAACTTTCTGGTTTCCATCTTCTCCAGAGCCTGGACAGCCAACCTGTTCATGGAATTCTGCACAGCAGAACGTGGTCTGTGTGAGTGTTTGGTATGTATAACAGTGGTATTAACCTCCGAGGCTATGGCACTCAATGTACTGGGACAAACAAACACTTCTCTATCATGCCAGAACAGACTTTTGAGAAACCACTCAAAACTCAGGCTGCCATGGAACATATTTTCTAGACCCGTGAAGCATCCCAGGCACCAACCCAGGCTTTTCCCAAGTGGCAATACTAGCAAAGAGCTCCCCTTTGACTTGAAGGCAGGGGTTGCCTTCGATTACTTAGCCTTCTCTCTTCCCTACTCTGCTAGACCCTGAGTTATTGACCTGCTCTACACCAGGGGTTCCTACTGTTTATGCTGAAGGTAGTCGTGAGGGTAAATGAGACAATATGTGAGTGTAAGTAGGCTGTGCCCAATAAACCCAGCCCATTGTTCTACAGGTGCTGGCCGCTTGCCCCTCATGAGAACTTAGGCGATTCCCTTGACAGATTGCCCTCCAAGATCTACCATCTCTCTCCTGAGACATGACCCTGCCATACATTTGAGAGGGTGATGATAATCACCCTCCACCGCTGAATCTCTCTTTCCTATAAGCACACAGTGATATGGCATCTGGAGAGTTACCGTGGCTACTCTGCTTATTGAGAATCACCCAGAGAGCTCAATAAGTGGGTAGGTTTGGGGTGGGGCCCGAGACTCTGCATTTCTGTCAAGTTCCCAGGTGATACAGATACTGCTGGATAGATGCTATCTGAGGGGCAAGGCTATAGGGTATCACACTGGCACTGATTTTAACACTTCCTTTGAAAAACTGGCTGAAGACATCTCCAGTGCTCAGCCTCTGTAGGACTGGCCCTTTAAGAACAGAGAGGGCACAGTGATCTAAGTTTTGCTCTTGTTTTTCCTCCATCTTGGCTATTTCTAGACCACTAGGAACAGGCTATGGAGCTCAGAATCCTCAGCTGTGACTTCACTTTGGACTGTCAAACAACAAGTTGACAAGAGTCCTGGTTTTCACCAGCGACAGGGCCACAGGGGTCAATGTTCATTGGCTGCACAGAGGTATTACCTGACTACGTCGCTGTTTCAGCTTGATTTTGACAAGGAGGATGAGGCAGACCAAGGAAACCACAACGAAGAAAGCCAGGAAAATCCCCATGTCAAAGTATTCAGTGGGTTGCTGGAATGGAACACAGACATAGTGAGTCACAGCCTCGCTTCAGCCTGGTAATCGGCACCAGGTCAGGATAAGGATGGGGTGACTGGGGCGAGTTTCCCCTCAGTTTGTAGGAAATTCAGAAGGTTTTGCTCATATGCACATGGCATGCTCCCAAGGTCCAAGCAGTACCTTTGGTATGGCCAGGGAGAGCCCTGAGGTGGTCTTAGCTAGACCCCCAACAGCCAAGGGAACTCTGTCCACAAAGCCTGGCTCTCTGTGGAATAGTGCAAGTAGCCAGTAAGGAAGGCCCTTCCAAATAAACACAACTAATCACATTTATAGGACACAAAAGGGTAAGTGTCATGTTTTGAGGGAACAGTGATTACTAACCATATAATTAATGGTTTACAACAACTCAGAAAATTGTGTGCTGCTTCCACAACTATCAGCTTCCACTGCAATGAGTCATATTAACCAAAGCGCTCTTTTTTCCTTTAAAAAGAAGCCGGCAAGTCAGTTTTCTGCAAACTCTCTCTGGTTTTAGTTCTTACCTTTCTCTCATAGCACTACCTCCTAAAATCTGGAAGCCACCTCATCTAGGGCATGCATTTAGCCAACAGGACATGCATTTAGCCAACATGCATTTGCTAACTGGATGCTGTGTGTATTCAGATACTTTGTGCATGAGAATCGTCCAACATGCAAATGTTCCAATATGTGTGAAGAGAAAAAAGTGTATATGGGCACTTGCCGCAGGTTCCTAGCACCCTTCAGCCCAAGGTTTAGGCAGAAGGCGCCTGTCAAGAGTTAGTGGCCTAGGATTCCTTCCAGTCACTTAAGGGCAGCTTAGACTCTATTCATTAGCCATGAAATTCAATCTCAGTTGAAAGTTAAGTTTTCCAGATTCAAAGATAAGTTAGGGAATTTCAATAAGGGAATTTTACAGGAAGAAGAAAGTACAGGCCTTTTCTCTAGTGTCTAGATCAAATGGAAGAAGGGAGACATGAGCAGTTGAGTGCTGGGTGTCCCAACCTTCTGATCCTCCTCAGTTTGCCTTTTAAAGGGAGATGGGATGGAAGTGAAAGAAGGATGAGAAGTTGCCAAGAAGGAACACCAGGTGGAAGAGTCCAGAGACATCTTACCACTATTAATCTATTTCTGGTAGGATTTTTCAAATTCTGGTAGAATTTTTCAATACCACATGGGTGGAATTTCTCTCTGGTCTCTAGCTCTATAGCTGATCTAAACCTGCAGGAACCCAGGACAGGCCAGCATTTTAGTCAGAAGGAAGAAAGGAATGAAAGCCTTCTTTATTTCCCAGGGGAAATAAAGGCACAGGCAGCAGCAGAGACCACCCCGGGCCCAGCAGGCCAGTGCAAAAGCTCACCCGAGGAGGGCGGTGCTGGATCCTTGCTCGGGCCACTTTCTGCTTGTTGACAATATTCATCAACTTGATGGCATCTGCGCCCTTCACATACACTACTGGCCTCTTGAGTGGGTCTTCTGATCCCTGGTTCAGCTAAGGAAGAAAAGAGGGTCCTGGTTAAAAGGTATGCTTACTTTAAGCAGAGAGAGAAAGGAAGGCTGGACGGAAAGACATTGAACGCTTGTCTGGAAATACCCCTCTTTAAGCATTATAGCCTTGGAGCTCCCAGAAGGGCAAGGCTGAAAATGATGCTTGTTTTAGCATGGACTGGGCAGGCAGAAGGACCAGAGGGCCTTTGAAAATGTTCCCCATTCCTCAATTCCCTGGCTCTTAACCCCACTCAATATACCTTCCTTGGGTGTGATGCCCAAATGTGGACATCTAACTTCTGCATACAAGTGCAAAGTCCTCGAGATAAAGGTGACATAACTGTGACAAGCCAACTTAACTGAAGGAAGTACCTCTCTCAGGGAGACTGCAACATTGGCATGGCCCAAGTTTACCTGGTCAATAGCTTCTGGGTTTTCAGACACATCAAAGATGACTGCAGTAGCTCCCCGCTGCACTGCTCTCTTGGCCTGGTAGAATAAAAAAGAGCAGATTGGCCCTCCAGTCCACTTACCTTTCCATAGCTGGCCTTTGGCACTCAGGCTTGTGATCAAATGTTGAATCTCACAGTTACCAACCTATGTGACTTTGGGCACATTATCTAACTTTCCTAAGCCTCAACTTTCCCACCCGTAAAAACAGGGACTGATGACTATTGTTAACAATAGTATATCATGTAGTCTCAAACAGCTAGAAGGATGATTTTGGAAGTCCACAACCCAAAAAAATGTTAACTGTTTGAGATGACTGATTTGCTAATTACCCTGATCTGATCACTATAAATATGTACTGAAACAGCAATATGTACTCCACAAATATGTACAATTATTATTTGTCAATTTAAAGCATCTTTTTAAAAAAGAAGATAATGCCACCTACCCTGTATCATCATCCTGAGAACCAGATGACTTAGAATAGGTGAAAATAAATAATTTGGTACTCAATAAACCTTTGTCTTCCTATCCTGCCCAAACAATGAAAACAAACTACAGATCAACAACCTGCCCAGTCAGCACAGAGGTACTGATTTTGGTATTTTCTGCTATGAGCACAGAACCATTGGCAACCAAAGCAAATGCCTTTGGTTCGTCTCATGTGGTCCCTTCTTCCTTCCCATGTCACCCAGTTAAAATAATATATTCAACATTTCCGAATGAATCTCATAATGGTCCATTTTAATAAGTGGCACAAGCTGAAGACCTCTGGAGACCCTGTAGGCAGGGGGAGTCATGAGAAATCATTGTAAATGGGGTTTTGGAGCAGTTAGCCTGCCAAACCTGGCTACACATCAAAAACCACTTGGGAAGTTTGTAAAGCAGATTTCCTGGCTCACACCACAGAGACTGATTCAACAGGGCTGGAGTGAGGCCCAGGAAACTGAGTTCTGTAAGCTTTCTGATGATTCAGATGATTCAACCCCTTGGGGAACTACTGATCACAGAGATGAGATTAAAACGTTTTAAGAACAAATGAGAGATGATGGGATTCTTCTTGAGGGAAATGGGGGAAAGATTCCTTTCCATCCCAATGAACCTGCTAATTTCATGTTCAGCTAAGTAGACAACAGGGAAGAAGCTGTGGAAGAACAAGACTTAAGATATACCCTGACTTTTAGGAGCCTAAATCTTGTTGGAAAGTGACACCTCTAATGGTGGTGGTGGGGAGGACAAAAAAACTACCCTTCTATAAGATGGGTACATGATGACAGCGCTGAGATCAACAGAGTCATTATAGGCCAGAGTGTCGAGTAAGAATAAAATCAGAATTCCTTCCATAAAAATAATCACTCTACACCGACGTGGCGTTAAGAATGTACATTGCCCCAAATGTAGCTGGACCAATGGCTACACTGGCCCACTAGAGGGCAGACTCACTCCACAGCTTTCACAACAAGCCAATTTCTTGTACTTCGTACCAAACAAGTAGCACCAAAAAACGGCTTCAGTGAAATCCTCAGGAATACCGCAAGTTTCTCAGCCGTTTAAGAAGCTCTGGCACCCTGGATAACCTATCCTTGTCCTGCAGGGGACTCTTTCTTTTTGAACGGAGATTCAATGTATTGAAGTCTCTGCTGATTATCCACCCCACCCTGTTATTCACCAGATTGCTGGACTAGGAGCCAGGAGTAAATCCTGGGAGTTATTCTCTGGCTCTGCCACTGGCATGTTGCAAGTCACTGAATCTCCTTCAGCCCCAGCCTCAGTTTCCCCATTTATTAAAAAAAAAAAAAAGAGGAGGTATCTATGTCATTATGACTAGGGTCTCTTCCAGTTTCCAGTATTAGCCATCCAACTATGAGGCAGGGGACTGTACAGAATTCAGAAAGGACTGCAATGGCCCCATCATCTCTCTCTAGCAAAAGATGATGCTGAGGCACAGCTAAGAAAGTACAAGGCCAATTGGCATTCCTTTCCTCCTCCATAATACTCTTTAGGGGTATAGACCTCTCTGTCTAAGGCCAGCAGCTCATGGACTCCAGAGTAAGTAGGTGCTTGTGTTTTCCGCTTAGGTGGTATCTCAGTCTTTTTCACAAATTCCTTTCCCAGACATAGGCCCCAAGGAACAGCACGGAAAATGAGGAAATAAATAGGCCCTCTCATTCCTTTATTTGGCTTTCATTCCACGAACAAGCACATCAAACAGCATCCGCCGAGAATGTGCAATTCAGATATGTCCTGATCAGGAGCACCCAGTACCTCTAGCTTTGATGCTGCTGCACCTGGAGTCTAATGGCCGTGGGATGAAAGGCTGCAGGATCTGGGGTAAGCAATGTCTTCCTGGGAGATGCGTGCCTCAGAAAAGCCATTTAGCCACGTGGTCTGCTCCATAAGAACGCAGACGTCTCAAGGATTTGGAGGTTTCATTTGAAGCATTACCTCCATTCAGGACAGGAGCAAAAGACATTTTAAACAAAATCTAGGAGATTTTGACCAGTAAAGACAGCAGATCAAGAATAAGGTGGCCAGAGTGGCACTAGCCAGTAATTCCAAATATCAGGAGGCTGAGGCAAAGGCTCAGTTGAGCCCAGGAGTTTGAGGTCAGCCTGGGCAACAGCAAGAACCCTATGGACAAAAAAAAAAAAAAAAAAAAAAAAAGAAAGAAAGAAAGAAAAGAAAAGGCGCTTAAACCCCATTTATAGTTTGATTTCAGACACAACTAAATCAGGTTAATGCACACAAGCCAAGGACAAACATCTTGTTTAAGAAAATGTTTGATTCTCATAGTTGATATACTTTAAAAATTGTATTTAGTGTAAGCTATTAAAATAAGTTTGCATTTCCTGCATGTACCAGGACTGGATGGGAGGGGAGCCAACCAAGGATACTACTGGAAACTTGCCTGTCAGAAGTCAGTTCAGGGTTTAAAATAGGCTGTGACTATTCCACATTTAGAAAATGACACTTTTATTTTACTACTTCCAAAGCAAAATAAAAAATAAAGAACACTGCTTGGTTACATTTTGCCCTTGCCATACATTTTCAGTTTAAAAATTGAGGCATAGTTCTTGAACCAGTTTTCATTATCTCAGATCATTTACCATTTTATCTAGTCAGACTTGGACCAGAAAACAAACCTAGGCTCTAGTTGGGAGAGTACTAGTTTTGTGACCACCAGAAACCCAATTTTTATGAAGTCACATACGTCCAAAACTCTTAAGATAAGACTCTTTTAAAGAAAGATGGGAAAGATGCAGCATGGTAGATGTGGCCGGATGAAGGTCACTGGTAAACTGGGCTGCAGTCGGAAGGGGCAGTTACTCCTGAACTGTGCACAACCCGCAGAGGAAGGAAGAGCAAGGGAGAGGAGGGTGGCAGCAGAACAGGGAAGTCTTGGCAAGGCCTCCGAGAAGCAGCCAAAGCCCTTGTCTTGCTGGTCTCTGCATGCCCTTCCCCTCAGCCCACAGAGGTATCTCCACATCCTTTATCACCTAGTGTCTGTGATCCTCACTTAGGACATAGCAGGTCAGCAACAGCTAGCAGGTTGCTGAATAAAAGGTTGTCATTTATGTACCTTTCCAGGGCTGCAGGACCCAAGACTAGACGATGTCCACAGCTACAGAGATAGTAGCAAAAGGGTAAACAGTTGCACCTTTAAAATACATTTGCAAAATACAAAATTCCAACCTCTAGAAGATAGGGCCTGACTGTGGTTGGCACTTATCACTCTTATGATTTTCAATAAGCATTTATTATAAACGAACGAAAGTCTGCCCGGTACCATACTCTTGGGTTATTTTTGATAAAAAGAAGTGCTTCATGACCACGGATGTTTTCCTGTCAGGAAGTACTTTTATCAGTAAGACTGAGTCTAGAATGTTCCAGTGCAAATGAGATATTCTGATGAAAATGGTGCTGTCACCACCCTGAGGGTGGGAAAACTTAAAGCCTAGAGCCCTCCACTTATCAGGAATGGATCTAGCATTTCTCCTGGTGTGTGAAATTCTACCCAGATTTGATTTGGGGCTCAGATCCACCCCAAGACCTACTCCTTGGAGCTTCTGGGGCACAGACTCCATTTTTCACCAGTTGTTTTCCTGTTCCTTTGTCAAGCACTTGGATGTGGTGTCCCCACTGCTTAACCTTTATTGTAGGAAAACTTTGACATAACACAATCTTAATAGGAAATAACCCAAAAGATGACTAAAAATCTCCATTGTTCCACATTTCTAAACATAGGGTAACCAAGGAAGTTAGATTGTTAGTGTTAACATGAATACATGTGTCTTCGACCTCTCATAGGCAGTTCTGATATATAAGGGCTCCAACCAGACATTTTACTTCTATTAAATATAAATTTGCATTTTTGCATTTATCGTAAGCTTTCAAGTTATTAAAAATTCTTTGTAAATATTTTAAATAGTTGTGCTATATTTCTTCCTATACGCTACTCAACTCATGTATTTTTGATATCTGGGCTGTTCTAGTTTTTTATTTATTATAACTAATGCTATGTTGCATAAATCTCAGCTTTCATTTGCAATTTCCTTAGGATAGAGGCCAAGTGCCAAAGAATATGAAGATTATGGAGATTATGATTATTATTTTAAGTTGGGTCTCATTTATCACCTAGGCTGGAGTGCAGTGGCATGATCACAGCTCACCAGATTGTACCTCCTGGACTCAGGTGATTCTTCTACCTCAGTTTCCCGAGTAGTTGGAACTATAGGCGTGTACCACTATGCCCTGCTAATTTTACATTTTCTTTTTGTAGAGATGAGGTCACACTATGTCACCCAGCGTGGTCTTGAACTCCTAGGCTCAAGCAATCTTCTTGTCTTGGCCTCCTAAAGTGCTAGGATTGCAGGGATGAGCCACTGTGCTTGGCCAGAATGTAAAGATTATTAAAATTCATAATACAATCCACAAAGAATTTTAATGCCCTCCTTATATACCCACCTAACTCTTATTTAATATTAACACCAATGGCAGGATAAGATGGCACAGACAATACAAGACAAATTTGTCAACAG